TCTATCTATCTATCTATCTATCTATCTATCTATCTATCTATCTATCTATCTATCTATCTATCTATTATAAATTAGCAACTTTACATATGGATGTTTCTTCCATATCAAAGAGATGAATTCAATGGAAATGCTTCTTGTTCATGAAATATTTTGAAATATAGTTTGTTCATAAAACAAAATGGACATTCCATTAAAAGTTACATATACGTAGCATATCTTAGAAAATAATTATATTGTATGGTGACAATATGCTTTATGTTACCTTTTTAATGTACCGTCTTTACTTCTTATGTTTAAATGAAGTGTTTTTTATTGAAAATGTTATCATGAAGTTCATTTAAACAGTTTATTTTTATTGTCTCTCACTTGTTCAAAAAAAAAAGAAAAATCACTAATTTGAATTCTAGCTAGTTATTAATGACATTGCTTTAGGACTGTAACTTTAACTCTGGTTTAACTTTAGTGTTAAAATTTATCTTAATCATGCAAAGAACAAAGAATGATATAGTCTAGTCTGTTTATCCAACTGAGGACAGTTTCCAGCAATGAGGAGTTCAACTCCCGGAATTTTATTGCCCACATAGCCTTTGCTAATAGTTGAAGTCCACAGAGTTGAAAGTTGTCCACTTTGTTAAACTAGACTATTGTTTTCCATTGAGCAAATGCACCTAGCCTAAAGGACTAAAATTTCAAGCCTGTTGCCAGGAATTATAGTTTTCAGTGACAGTTTAGTATTGCTGACATAATTAAGAATATTACTTCAGATAATGTAACAATTTATCATTAGAACATTATCATCACAATTCACAACTTCTGGGTTCTTTCCACAGAATTGAATATTCAAACAGCATTAAAGAGATGGTGGTTCTCTTTGCCACAGCAATTTATAGAATTGGATTACAAGTTGCTCCAAATGAAGTTGATCCACGTATTCCAATCATGACTTGGAGCACTTGTGCTTTTACAATCCAATGTTTAGGTAAGTAAAAAGTTGAATTTATGAGACCGTTTGAAATAAAGCTTTTATTTTATTTGTTTTTCTGTAAAATAGTAAGCAACTATATATATTTTTTGAAAATAAAGAAAAGCTACTTAAAATAGTTAATAACATCTTGGTACATAAAATGCTAAATATATTTATTAAATTTACATGTCACCCCTCTTGCTGTCTACATAATGTAGGATTATGCTAGACAAAAGTCAGACGCTTACAGTCCATCCTACACTGCTAAAAGTGAATAGTGATTTTTTTTTATTTTTGCTCTAGAATTGGTACTAGGATTATGTTTAGACATAACAGCAAGAAACATTTAAATGCCTATGACCAATATCATGATTAACTCATAATACCCATTGGCTAAGCCTTGGTATATTAAATAATTCTGTACTTTAAATTCTAGTATTCAGTGTTCTAACATTCAATTTCTAGTATTGAAAAATGAAAAGGAGAGTATTCTGTGCATTAGTGTATTACTAAACAGATGTAACACATCTATATCTGTGCAAATGCAATAAACTGAAACAGAACTGCTAATTTAGAATAAGTGTAACTATAGTGAAGCTTGTTTCTGATAAGGCTCCTAGAAATAACTTCTGTACAATTTAATACAGTTATAATTTGCTATTGTCAGTGCTTGGCATATTTCAAGTGAAAAGAATGAACAAATAAAATGAGATTTGAACAAAGATAATTGGTACATCACTCTTAGTTGTTGTCCTACACCAACCCTGTCATGAAAGCATGCCAGATGTAAAAATAAACTGTCACAGTGGAAACAAGATTTTTGATACCTGTCAAATTGCATTAAAATCAAAATCTTATCCTATCATCCTGAAAGCAGCAGTTCATAAAGATTTATAGGAATTGAGCTGTAAAGATCTGGCAGTTTTTTACCTTTCTTAAAGTATACCTTATTCACTTTACATTTTTCTTCTTGCTTTTAAAGAAGATCTTCTAGAAGATGAGGGCAAGGCTTTATTTGGCTCTCTACAAAGTAGACAGGTATGAATGGCTAGTGCTAATAAATGTGTTTTTATCCATTGCCAAGGTAAATAGATCAATAGTTTCTTGAGAGAGATCCTTTTAATCCTGGCATTATATATTATATATATATATATACATTATACATTATATATATGCATTTTTAAACTTGAAAAATGTGCCTTTGTCACACAAGGAAAAAAATAGTATTTTTTTTGTCAAAAAGCTTATATACATAACAATACATAATTATATAATTAGCTATAATGTAAAAACTGCTGAATAGAAGATTGGCTTTTCCCTTTATATTAATATATATATCTCCAGTGAACAGGGCTCATGAGTACTGATACAAATGAGATAGTGATTTTGTCTTGAGTTATTATTTGTATTCCTAATTATTATCTGTTCTTATAAGACACTTCTAAATAATAGGCGTATTTAAACAGACCCTGGATGGCCCTAAAGATGCTGTAGATGCATTCTGCATTTTTGTTTTTTATGAAGAAGGACTTCAGGCTAAATAAATGGTTCCCCGAAAATAAGACCCAGTCATTTATTTACTTACTTACTTACTTATTTATTTACTTATTTATGTCTTTTTTTCTTCCCCACAGCCACAATGGAGCAGGAGGCAAGGCCAGGGGTGGGGGAGTGGATGGAAGCAAGATGGTGGCGTGGTGGAGGATAAAGCGATGCACTAGTGCCGCAGCCACTAAGCAAGGCAGTGGGGGGGGATGGAGAATGAAGCGAGGTGGGTGGGTGCAGAGCTTCCCTACACGCCCCACAATGGCTTACCAGAGGGCCCTACAATAAGGCCATCAACATGTTGACAGTTGTCTGGCTTCACAGCAGTGGCTACAGCACCCCCATGCAGATTGCCAGCCCGCTTCTTCTCCTTACTCGCCGCTGCAACGAAGCAGGAGCTGAGCCACTAAGTGAGGCAGTGGTGTGTGTGTGTAGAGGATGAAACAAGCCAGGGGGTGGAAGACGAAGTTTCTCCTTGCTCACTGCCTCAACAAAACAGGAGGTTGAGCAATTGCACCAGTATCGTGGCCAATAAGTGAGGCGGTGAGGGAGAGAATGATGAAGCTTCTCTTTGTTTGCCATCACAACACAGCAGGAGGCTGAGTGATGCACCGGGGCTACGGTCACTAAGGGAGGCAATGGTGGTGGAGGACAAAGCGAGGCAGGGAAGTGGAGAACAAAGTCCCAACAGTATCCTTGGCCACCCAGCCTGAAGACCCCTGATGCTGGCAGAGTGAGGTGGTGGCCAGGGCAGCCCCACCACCGGTTGCTTGGATCCCTTTAGGGGTTTGCCTTGCCATCTGCTTTCCAGCTCCTGCCCAGCTCCCCTCACTTTACCAAAGCATCCCTTCACTAACCTGCTTTCCAGCTCCATTTTCTGCCGCCCGTGCAGGGCAATTAAAGAAGATTTGGGATTACTGATAAAAAAAATAGTTCAAACAGACCTTCAAACTCTGCAAGATCTTTTTTGGGGGGGAGCGGGGGGACAAGTTAGAAGGTCTGATTCATCTTTTTTTTTTTAAGTCCCACAAACTTTTGTTGCCCTGCACATGGCGGTGGAGGATGGATCTGGAAAGCAGGTTAGTGAAGGGATGCTTTGGGGAAGCAAGGGAAGCTGGGCAGGAGCTAGAAAGCAGTTGGCAAGGTAAACAAGGGGAAGCTTTGTCCTCCACCCCTCCCCATGCCTCGTTTCGTCCTCACACACACACCCCGCATCGCTTCATGGCAACGACACACACACACACACACACACCTGCCTTGTGTCATCAGAAACCAGACAGAATAGGCAGGTGGCTGACTGCACAGGCACTTAAGTAGGGCTTACTTTAGGGGTAGTCTTACATTTGACACGTGTGAAAATTGGGCTAAGGCTTATTTTCTGGGTAGGTCCTATTTTCGGGGAAACACGGTAGCTAACCACAACCTAGTTGGATTTCGGTTGCAAAATTTATAGCAGTTTCTGTGGTGGCAGGATAATGCTGAAGTCCTTATATGGGTGTAATATAAGAGCAGTGTGAATTCTTGCCTTAAGGGGGACCTTTCCACTTTCTAACTGGGTAATATAAATTATTAAAAAAAGAGAGACACAGATTCTAATCTAGAACTGCGTAGACCACTGAAGGCCAAACATTTCAGTGAGCAATTTACCATCATCTTTCAGACAAAGCAAGTAATTATAAAATCAGAGATATTCACTATTCACTAAACATATGCTCCAGTGCTAGATACTTTTAAGCAGTTTTTTCAGATTGTATCTTGAATGTTTATTTTATCAATTCACTAATATACAGTATAAATTATTACACAAGGGGAAGTAGGTCCTTCTGTACATGTATATTTACCCCCGTATTTGCTACTGAGCTATATACTGATCTAATTCTTCAGGCACAGAAGATAAGATTCTTTAAGAAAAAGAATAAGAGAACCGTTTCCATTAAAAGTTCCTTCTGCTTCTTGCACTCTAGCACAGTGGACTTAAAGCACTGGTACAATTTGCAGCTGTTCAGAGGACTACGGTACCTCAACACGTGATCCAACAACATCTTGTACGTCTCCTAGGAGGTAATGCGCTTTTCATTACAAGATTTGGAAAATATTTAATATCTTCTTCCAAATGTTTCTTTCCTAATACAGTTGTGCATTTCGATAAACAGTGTAGATATGAGCAAGCACACCTAGCATTGCAAGACTCTAGACAACCCATTAGATCAAAATACATACACTATTAACTTGTAGATTTTATCAACAGTCATGAATAACATCATGATAGTATCAAAATTACAACTATATAAATCGTATCATTTTATGATAATATAATACATATATAAATATTTGCCTCCTGTTGACCCTTTCCACAAAGCTACCTGTGTGAGGGATAATTGGCTAAATAACTAAGCAAGAACAACCTTTTCACTTTGAGATTAAACGTTAAAGAAAGAATTTGTTAGAGGCTTTTGTTTTGTTGAACTTTTTCTGGAGCAGCAGCTGTTGATGGTCACAATTGAGCCCAAAACTTCTATTGCTAAGCAAGACATTTGTTAAGTGAATCACTGCAGTTGTTAAGTTAGTGACTCGATTGTTAAGCGAATCTGGCTTCCTCATTGACTTGGCTTGTCAGAAGGTCGCAAAAGGTGATCACATGACCCTGGGACACAGCAAAGGTCATAAATATGAACCCAGTTGCCAAGGTCTGAATTTTGATCATGTGACCATTGGGATGCTACAGTGGTCATAAGTGTGAAAACCTGTCATAAGTCACTTTTTTTCAATGTGGTTGTTACTTTGAACAGTTACTAAATGAACTGTTGTAAGTTGAGGACTGCCTGTAAAAACAGTGCAGATTTGCAGCTGAAATTTTCTAGGATTCAAGACAGGAAAGTAATCCAAACAAATGTCTAGGTGTAGTGCATTTATTTGATTATTTTGTTTTGAATTTTTGAATTTATTTCATTTGTACTCAAACCTTAGCAATTTTCTTCAGGTTAGCTTCTTTTAGGCTTAAACTCATTCTTAGACAATTCTGTTCCACTTCTCTTTTGTAGTTTAATCCATCCTTTTCTCTAAATGCATCTCTTTGTTTTTCCTTGTTGCCGTAGTGCCTTAATAAACTCTTAAGTACTATTTTAAACAGACAGGTTGTTGCCTTGGGGAGCTTAGTTTGGTAACACTGAAAGGCCCAGACTGCTCCAGATTGATTACCATATACAGGGCTTAACATGATCTTGTGTTTCTTTGTTAACAGAAAGGGGAAGACATTTTATTTTGCATTGGTCCTATTAACCATCTTGGGGAGAAGGAGAAGATGGTGGCAGCTAATACTGGATGAAGGCAGTAACTGCTCTATCATGCCAGGTTGTGCTGCTTGAGTTTTTTTTAATATGTTATCATTTGTCTAGAGGAGTTTAGAGACCCAAGGGAAGAGATATACTCATGACAAAAATGCAAACAATGAATTTCACTTTACTGTGCCACTTTCTGAAATATCTGTTTTGTTTTTGTAGTTCTTTTGCCCAATTTAAAAATGGAAGACACACCATCTCTTTTAGATGTAGACCTCTTCCATGTTTTGGTAAGTGTATTGATGGCTTCTGCTAATATTAATGTTCCTTATTTTTTGAAACTTACTGAGTAGATCCAATACAGGGTTTTTCCCCCTGCTCTGGAATCATATCTGCAATGATTCTTTTATGAAGTTGTTGAAAATAATATGTTGAGATTACATTTGTTTTCATTGGGGTTTAATTTCAGTTCATGTCTGTATCCATCTTAACATTAATTAATTTAAAAGTCTGGTTTTGATTGTTTGGGTGAGATTTATAGAACCTTTATTTATAAAGCATATTTCATCATATTGCACGAATAGCTGTTTTTAAACATCTATTTTGAAAGCCGAGTTAGCCATTTTCTTATTTCCTTTGTAGGTTGGAGCTGTATTATCATTTCCATCTTTGTATTGGGAGGATAATGTAGGCTTGCAACCTTCAGCTATCAGTTCAGCTTGCAATCAACTCTACCTCTTCCATTTGTTTACTATGGCACACATAACCCAAATTATTCTTACTACAACAGCAGATGAAGGTATGTTTGATTTTAATGGTTTTTAGATAATAGATTAAATTACTTTGAGATTCTTCTGCCAAAGTTTTGTATTCCTTCCATTTATGTGTAAAATAGTAGTACTTGTGTGCGTTCCTGCCTACTTTCCCTAAAACAACAATGCAAGAAAAGCATCAACCGAGCCCAAAGGTCCATTGATCATATCAATTTCTCTCATAGTCCTGGCATTAGTGGCTGTAGATTTAGGTATGAGAAAAATAGATTACTGTTCTGCCAACAGCTGTAAACATAAGAGAACATTCTGGTAAGTTGCACTGTATATACTGGTCTATTTACTTAGCTTCTTTGTTTATTGCAAACTGAATTTACTTAAATGTTAGTAATTTCATAGTGCAATATACAAGTATATATGTAGGATTAGTTTTGTGATTGGCACAAAACAAATATGTTTCTGTGTAGGTATTTTCCAATGATTTTCCTTTTCTCTTTTTGCATATGACTTGGATTGTGTATATCCAGATGGAATGTATATGAATGATAACAACTGTCTGCACCATTTTAATTGGGTTTTCACCTGGGATACAGCATTGAATTTACTTCAGTTTCTTAACTATGGAGAAGTATAGTTCTGCTAGTTTAGGGGTGTCAAACTCAAGGCCTGTGGGCCAGATCCTGCCCATGGGGGACTTAGACCTGGCCCACGGGTCCACCCTGGAAACAGCAAAGGACCAGCCCACAGTGTCTCTCAGAGAAAATGGAGCTTGCGAGGGCTATGCGTGCCCTCGGAGCTCCATTTTTGCTGGCAGAAAGCAGCAGGAGACCATCGCACCTGAAAACAGAGCTCGGGGACATGCTTTCGCTGGCAAAGTGCTTGGGCCATGACAGGTGCCCCCAACACGAGGGATTTTGAAGTGGCCACATCACCCTGGCCATGCCTATCCTGGCTCCCCAAGGTCAAACACAACCCTGACTCAGCCCTCAATGAAATCGAGTTTGACACCCCTGTGCTAGTTGGACTTCTTGGTAGTTTTCAGTACATTTAGGCAAAATACTCTTTTGAACTTGGGTGGCCCTTCTTTGCAGTTCATGTCTTTCTTGATGAACCAGAAGTTGTCCTTGGGATTGTTCTATTCAGTAGCTAAGCCACTGATTTGTGATGTCCTGCTAGATTCCATCATGTCTCCACGGTTGTATTTATGCAAAATCAATGGAAGATTCATACAGAGCTTAGAGTGGGATGCCATCAATGAGCTGGTAGTTTCTAGCACTGCTCTCCCTTGCCATTCAATTCTAAAAAGTAATATTTTCAAAATACAAACGCTAATGAGCTGGATGAGAAAAGAAAATGTGGCATTAAATCCAGGCAAGATGGAGATATTATTGGACAGTTCCCAGCTGGGCTGTTTTTTATTTTTATCTTTGACTGGATTCAAAGGTGATATTGGTATTATTATGATGATGCACTAGATACAAACAAGCATAAATCAATCAGATTTGACATTAGTTATTAATTGCCAGTAATATTTTCAGATTGTTCCTCTGCTCAAATGCTGAATGATAGTGAAGAAGCACGTGCTGCTGAAGCTTTTTGCAAAGAAATTTGCAGATACACAAATCGGTAAGATAAAAACATTGCATTGCATTAGTGTTTCACATACTTCAAAAGAAGGGGAAAAAGATTTCTTCAATTCAGAGGTTCACAAACAGTAATTTGCTTGTGACATTTATTAATATGCTATACAAACATGTCCATGAATAAATCTCATGGGGAAAGGGGATTAGGACAGAAAAAAATTAGAATACAAAATAAAAATGCAGCTAGAAAAGTTTATCTGGCTTGAAAATATAGTTTGCTTTTGATTTTCTGATTGTAATTGTTAGTTTGCATGAGAGCCAATATGCTCTAACAGTTAAAATATCAGGCTAGAAACCAGGAACAATGAAGTCTAATCCTGCCTTAAGGACAAAAGCCAACTAGATGACTTTGGCCGAGTCAGTCAGTCACTCTCAACTCAACTCACATCATGGGGTTGTTATTGTAGGGAAAATAGGAAGAAGAAGGACCATTTTAGTATATTGACTGCTTTGAATTATTTATAAAACTAAAACAGTGGGATGTAAATAAACAGGATCACAATGGCTCATCGGTTAAGATTGGCTCATTGGTTAACTTGTTAGCTGAAAAAACAACAATCTGGATTCAAAATCTGAGCGCCATGCGATGGGGTACGTTCCCATTCAGCTTCTGCCCAACCTAGCATTTTGAAAGCATGGAAATGCGAGTAGATAAATAGGTACCACTTCAGTGGGAAGGTAAGAGTTCCATATTTTCATGCTGGCCACATGATGACAGAAATGTCTCTCAGACAATTCAGGCTCCCTCAGCTGAGAATGGGGATGGACGTTGCTCCCTGACCAACTCAAGGACAGAGAAATCATTATAAATAAGCAAATAAATAACAATTGTGTGTAATGTTATGATTTATTTTTGGCTTGGCTTTGTATCCTGCCTAAGTGGTGAACCACTTCATTAGGAAGGCAAGGTACTTACTACCTGTTTCAAACTGAAGGAAAATGGGCCAAACAAACAATGATAATTCACATCTCTTAGATTAATCAGCGCACCATGACTGGAAACAAATATGATTTAATGCAATGTGGCCAAATTATTAGATTTGTTTATTGCTTTGCAAGCATAGTTATCTCTCTCTAAGAAGGTTTATCTAAACAATTTAACAAAATAAATAACATTACTTTTCACAGAGCAACACCTTTTTGGGCAGTAGTTAAGAGCATGAAAGGGAGAAAAGGTGATAAACAGAAAAAGGAAGGCAAAGCGTAAAAAACGCCTTTATAGCAATCTGCTTAGCAGCCCTTTTAATAACACTAACTGGTTGTACATTTTTTGAATATAACTGGGCACTTCTAGAGTGAGATTAATTATTTTTTTCCACTTTTCTGTAAATGTTCTCAAGTATATATTGCTTGATGCGAAAAAAAATAAATTTTTTGGATGCATAGCAGATGAAGGAATACTTTTCAAAAAAAATAGCATCGCTGCTTTGGTGAGAGGTTTTTTTAAATGCATATTTTTCCACTATGGTCTTTTATTTTTAATCAGTTAGGATATTAATCCAATTTCAAGATTTTGAAAATACTAAATCCATGCATTTGAAATGTTATAGTTGTTACAGCTTGCAAGTTCCAGGTTGGTATTTGTGGGATTGCATAAAGAAAGGCATCACCCCCTACCTCCGGTGCGCTGCCTTATTCTTCCATTATCTGCTGGCAGTACCTCCACCTGAAGAACTTTCATCCAGTAAGTACCTGAGTAGGCTGCCTCGTTAATTCTGAGGTGGAGCCAAATTGTTCAAATTGTTCTGGAAACAAAATGTGCTATTAAATATGGGTAAATTTTAAATGTCAATTCACATCCATCCCATTTTCAATTTCAAGCAGTACTCTCCATTGAAAACCCTCTTCTTAAAATATTGTTCTTTGCTGTTTTCTGGTAACTGCAATTATCATGAATATAAAAAGGGGGCAATGTAATGCTGATTATTAAGGTTGTTTTTTTTAAATTTTGCCCCAAAAGACGACACATTAAATTATAGAAGCTCAATGCTCTGTGCATTCACAGCCTTTACAGAAATGATCAGCATGGCAATTGGTTGTTATATAAGAAGTCTCTTGTTTTTTCCCCAGTGTAAGAAAGCTGTTACAGCTTGAATTATTACAGTTACAGTCACCAAGAAAATAAACCAGCAGCTCTGCTCCTCTGTAAGAACAAGAACCTTCATGAATTCCTTATGTGCAGACTATTGTCTCATTCTGGTTATTTACAATATTTTTTATACTGATTCAATTGATGGGCTGCATAGACTGCAGTTTTTGAATAGAGAAAGCTTTTATCCTAGTTGGTGCAATTAATATCTAATTATTATATTTAATATCTAAAATTATTATTTTAACAGATTCAGAGGAAGATCAGTTCAAGGCACTTTGTGATTATCTGTCTCTACCTACCAATCTATTCATGCTTTTCCAAGAATATTGGAATATTGTGGAGCCCTTACTTCAAAGGTATTCTATATTGATGCAAAACAACAGCTAATATGCTATAGCCAAACAAATAAGCTATATTATTAACAGATACACAATATGCTAAGATAATATATGGGATCCCACAGTCCGGTGAACCATACCCTACTCATTTTAGTCATGTCTAGTATATTATGCTAACTTAGACTATGTATATGTGTTAGGGAGCAGTCTGCCAGTAGAGAACAGCCATGACCTAAATATAAGTAGATTAAAAAGTTGAGTATTTATTTAATCATATTTAATAATAATTAAATATAAAACAATTTAAATAACTTTATGCATAATAATTGCTTATCTGTGATTTGGATTTGAGGAAGGCTCTCTAACCTAGACTTAGGAAAGCACTTTCAGGTTGCTGTTGGGATCCTTTTGGGAAAGATAGTTTACTCAGCTGTTCACACTGACGCATTTGTTTAGAAAAAGTTAGCATATATAAAAGTGCAAAATGATGACTAGGAAGAGCCAATCCTCAGCCTTGCTGTAAGCATAGGAATTTCTCTTGGAGGCAGGAATGAAAACAGCTTGAATTAATTCCAAGGTGAGACGTAAGAACAAAAAGATTAGAGGGATGTTGCATGCGGTAGCTGATTTCAAGAACTAATAATGGAAAGGCCTGATCTGCTGTTTGCTAGGGCTCTCTGCTCCCAGGTTTCCTCAGCATCTTGTGATTCGTGCACTTACCTGTTCAAATATAAGTGCTTGAAATGTGTTTGTCAAGGTTCTTGTGTAGCTATCTAGAGATTCAGCAATGTAGTATGCCTGTTAAAAGCAAATGCACTTTTGGCTATGTCAGTAAAAAGCAGTAATTCCATTCTATATTGAGTGGTTCAGTTCTGAGCAAGATATTTTTAAAGAGATTCTGAAAAATTGTGGCAAATACAAAGAAAAGCTGTGAGGTTGATCAGATGCTTAAGAGAAGAGCTTGAGAGAAGTGGATAGGCTTACCTTGATAAAAGATACTGAGGAGAGAAATGATAGCAATTTCAATTACTTCGGTGTGGCTGTCACACTGATTAAGACTAAAACCTTGTCCTTGTGGCCCCAAAGTGCAGTCTGCAGAATAATTTTGTTATGTAAAATAAGACAGATTCCAGCTGAGTGTTAGGAAAAGCTTTTCAATTGGATGGAGCAATTCAATATTGAACCAGTGATCAAGAGACATGCTAAGTTCCCTTTTGCTGGATTTGTTCAAGGAACAGCTGGGCAGCCATCTTTTGGGATGGTTTAATAGATTCCCACCTGAATAGGAAATTAAGCTCAGGGGCCTGAACATTTCTTTCCCCTTGTTTTTGCCACTGACAAGACTGATAGAAAGTTTTTCAAACAGATGGTGCACTGATCCTGCTGTGCTTTGCTTCTTGGAAGGAAAAAGTTTTGCAATAAGGTAAGTTTCATTTTTCTGGCTCAACTTTTACACAGTGTTTCTCAATCTTGGCACTTTGAAGATCTGTGGATTTCATACTGGCTGGGGAATTCTGGGAGTTGAAGCCCACACATCTTCAAGTTGTAAAGGTTGAAAAACACTGCTCTAGCAGGTGATGTTTTGATACCTCTTTGAATCCTGGCTTAGAGTAATTATTTTTGTTTGAACAACTAGATATCCAAGGGAAAGAAATAAATTGATAGAGCTTCCAGAAGACTACAGCTGCCTTTTGAACCAAGGATCTCAATTTCGGTGAGAAATCTGCTGACTAGAAACACTTTTTATTTCTTTTCTTTTTTTGAAAATTTTATTGATTTTTTAAAAACAAACATAAACAAAACATAGAACATAAAAACATAACACATCTTTTTTGAAAGCAGCCTGATCCCGGGTTACATCTCTTCATGCAGACACAAATTCAAATTCATGCTCATTTTTATATTCCATTCCATATCTTATTACCATTCTACATTTTCTAGATAACTTCTCCCCTCTTTCAACTTTCTTAATTTTATTTTATTTATTTCATCTCAATTCAAATCATCATACTTGTATTCTTTGTCTGTCCTGTTTCAGCTGTCTCATTATCTTTTCTCATTAAGCAAAATTTCTCCTGTGATCACTGATTGGAATATGACGCCTTTATATCTTTCCCCTGAAATTGTAACACTTAATATAATACATAACTTCCGTTCGGATTCTGCTTGGTACATTCTAAAACTACGCAATGTATTTTTAAAAAAGAAAAAATTATAAATATATAACATAATTAAAACAACAATCCATACCAATTCAATTCTATCATTTATATTAATATTCATTTAAATCTTGAACATTTTACACATTACTTTTCAAATAAGTATCATACTTCTATGGAAACACTTATAAACTTTCCATAATTACTTCCCTCCCACTTCACTTATATTTTATAAAACATTGAGTAGTTAAAATGTTCCCATTCCTTCCTAGTTCCATTCTCTCATTTATTTCATTTCGTTTATTTTGTTCACAAAAGTTTCACTACATTACACTATTTTATTCCACGTTTTTATCATATGTTGTTTCCAATTTTCTAACATTATTTCTATTACAAATATAACAATACAATCTTATGTACCTTTACAGAATCCCTTTTTCAGTTAAATTTTCACCCATTATCTCTGAATAAATCCTGTTTCTTTACATCTTGCTCCAGACCTTTGTAACTTCTCTTCCCTTCCTTCTTCCCTTTCTTCTCTCTCCCCTTTTTACCCCCTGTCTCTCCACCTCCATTTCCCTCTTCTGTATTCCCCTTTTCTGTTGCTTTCCAACATTATATCCCCTTTTCACATTATTTTTCCCTTTTTTGGCTGTTTTTTTAGGTCTTAGATTCTCCATTCTCTTTCCCCGCTTTCCCTTTTCTTCCCCAGATAGAATTACTTGTTCATTAAAAATGGCTTCTTCTTTGTCCCAATCTTCTTGTTGCGCAGTCTTTTCTTGTTGTTTCTTGTAGACACCAATCGCCATTTCTAAGAATTGAAAAATGGAACCAAAGGAGCCTTTCCCTTCTTGTTCCTCTTCTTTATATTTTTTAAATTCGATTTTCAGTTCATCCAGTTCATTCAGTTCATCCAGAGGTGATGCCATTGTAGAGTGGTTTTTTTTAAACAACCACCCAATTGTTTTTAGTCATTCAAATATGATTTCCAAAAGTCCCAAAGTCACCAAACAATCCAAATACACACAAGCTGTTTCTTTTAACACTTTCTTCTTTTTTCACTTTCTCTTCTTGGGGTTACTATTTAGTTGCAAAGTTCCAGTTAAAATGTATCCTTTAGAAGTCTTGTTAAGATTTAACTTTAAATTCTTTTGAATTCCAAGCAGTCTCCTCCTTCCAAGTCCTGCCCTTATTCTTTTCCTCTCCTTTCCCACTTATAGCAAAAAAAGGATTTTTTAGTATTCAGAAATCTTTATTGTCCCTTTGGCATTTAATTATATTTCCAGTTTAATTACCTGTTGGTGCCAAAGCGGATTTTTCCAATTTCTTTATTCAGATCTTCTCGTTGTCAGCGTGAGGAAGGAGAGTGAAGAAGAAGAAAAACTTTCCCTTTTCACTTTCGTTCACTGCTTCTGACTCTTCTTTGGGAGCGATGTATCTTTTGCAAATTTTAAATTCCAGGGTACCTTAGTTGTTACTTTTTGTCCCGGTCAGCCAAAAACTTTCACTTCTTAACTTCCTCCTGCACTTTCTTTTCCGGCTGAGTGCTTCTTTGAGGCGGCCATTTCTGACCGCCGCTCTTACCGCCTTCGGGAAAGGGAGTTTAGCCAGCTGAGGAGGAGAGGTGCAGCTCCCCTCGACCCTGCTGGGTCTCCCCCGTCTTCACCACCTCTACGGGGTGGCTTAGCCCCGAAGCCAGCCAGCTCACTACTATATCTGTTATTTAGTTGTTATTACTGCTATCCAATTTAAATCATATTTTATAGATTGAAAAGACCATTTCTTAAGGCTTCAACTGATTTTTAATTCAAAATTATGACTATGTCCAGTCATAATGTCAAATCACAGATTATGCTTTATATCAGGATTGTTAAACTGGTGGCCCATGGGCATCATGCGCAGGCTACGCCCACCCCTGCTCCACAAAGGGAAAAAGCATTGTGATACATCATGTGATACAATCAAAGTTGACATCCGTGCCTTGCATGAAAAATTCTGCACCATAGTTTGAGTTTAGAGTCAATGCACAATTTATGACCAGCATTTTCTTCCTATTTTGACAAGTTTCAGCTTTATAAATGGCAGAAGCGCATTTCTACCTTGGTCTTTTAGCTGTCTTGAGATAGAGGTATCACTACCTAGATGTGCAAATGTCTCTCCAAATCAAGGAGAGATTTGGGGTTTTGCTTTGTTTTTATATCTGTGAATCAGACATAACAGGAAACAAATCAACATATGATAAGCTAAATTTTCAATCCAGTTTTAGATTGAATCTTCAGATTCTAATCTGCCAGTTCCAGATTTCTTTGTGAACACTCTAACATTTGAATATTAAACCAAACAGCAATTTCACACTTCTAAAACTCTCCCAAGTGTCTTAGATATAAGGCTGTATTAATACAAAACTGTTTCAAACTAGCTAGTTTCATTCTCCATTGTAGGTGATTTCTATTTGCAGTGAAATATAACAATGCCAAAAAATACATTTTATTATCTACTTTCTAATTGTCTCATTGTACAAATATTAGCAATGAATTGGTGTTTATTGATGATTTGCACTATATAAGAGCACCTTTCAAAGTAGCCACTTTGGTTCCAAATCTCTTTGTCTAATTAACTTTACCTTTCCAGGTGCCCTCGATCTTCTGATGATGAAACCAAACATCCTGTCCTATGTTTGTTTTGTGGGGCTATGTTGTGTTCTCAAAACACCTGCTGTCAGATGCTAGTAAATGGAGAAGAGCTTGGGGCTTGCAATTCACATGCAATTTCCTGTGGTGCTGGAGTTTGCATTTTTCTCAAGTAAGTGACAGCTGGAAAATAAAGCTAATCTAAAGTAATTGGGGCATGGCAATGGATTCCCAATATTGTGCAGGCCAGATATATTGGAGAATAGCACCCAGCCTCAAGGAAGGAAGTGGGTAAAAATAATTGTTCTGCTTTTTTTTTTATTCGTGGAGGGATAAGCGGCCAGTTTGGATGGATTGTAGTACAGTTAACAAAGACCGGAATGATTCCTGAAATTGGATTGTGTCTTCAGTTAGAAGGAACCTTAGAGCAATGTTTCTCAACCTTAGCAACTTTCTGATATTCCCAAGCTGGCTGGGGAATTCTGGGAGTTGAAGTCCAGACATTTGAAAGTTGCTAAGGTTGAGAAACACTGCTTTATAGTATTCAGAGAAGATACTAGTGTTTATCTGCGGGTGGGGGGATTACCAATGTCTTAACAATACTGTGATCCTTTTTTTTTTTTTTTTAAAACAAGTTTTATTAATTTTTAAAACACACAAATTATCATTATTCATTACATGTTTAAACCTTTTTCCATTGTAAATTTAACAAGTCAGATAAATTATGATTCTGTTTTAAACCATTTCCATATAACATACCAAAACCTCTTATTCAATTTCTCTTTACTTCTCTTTACTCTTATTCAATATCATTATTATTATTTCATCTGTTTCTTTCTGACTTAGTTACCATTATTCTCATTCTATATTTCTACAAGTTTTTACTAATTCTCCCCCCAAAAAAGACATATACACACAACACACAAAACATAAAAAAAATCTTTTTGGAAAGTAACTTGGACCCAGGTGTCTCTCTCTTCATGGACTTCAATTATATTCATGCTCATCTTACATATCATTACTTATTTTATTTACCATTCTAAGCCTTCTATATTAACTTCTCCACATATTTCACACTTCTTAGTTCTACCTTAATTAATCATCTTAGTTTGAATCATTATATTTGTATCTTTTGTCCATTTTTTATCATCCCTTTGTCTCATTCCTTATGAAAAAAAAGAAAATCAGTTTCTCCTGAAATCATTAATCAGAGTATGATGCCTTTCTATCTCCCCCCTAAGTTAATCAAATTAATCTTTAAAATAATATCTAATACCCAATCAGATTTTGCTTGGTACATTCTATCTAACTAATACATCCAACACAATTAAGTGCATAATTAGACAATAAATCCAAATATTAAAAAAAAAATACTATAATAAAAATTTTATAATAACATCAATACCATAATTTTATTAAACTCTTTAATTAAAACAATATTCTAAACCTCTCCTATTATTAAGTTTTAAAGCCAATCATTTTTAAACATTTTAACATTTTAATCTCTTGTCAACTCTTAAACCATTGCAATACTACCATCTCATCTTATGTACCTTGCAAAATCTTTTTTTTTTTTAAATTATACTTTATCCATTATCCATAAAAAATTCCTTTTTTTCATTTAATTTCAAAACATTGTAGCTTTTCTCCACCTTTTCCCTTTCTTTCTTCTCCCAACAAACCTTTCTACCCCCCCTTCTTCTAGCCTCTGCCTTACCGGCTTCCCTTCTCTGTCGTATTCCTTTTCCCTTTTGTTTACTATCATCATATTGGTTTTGCACTTTATTTTTCCCTTTCTTAAATGTTTTTTTAGATCTTAAGTCCTTAAGTCCTTTAGTTTTCTTCTTTTCTCTTCTTTTCTTTTCTTTCTCTCTTCCTTCTTTCTGGATCAAATTCTGAGATTCATTAAAGATGGCTCCTTCCTTTCTTTCTTGTTCCTCTGCTGTCTTCATCTGTTGTAATGTTTGTTGATAATTAGTAAGCGCCATTTCTAAGAAAAGGAAAGCTTCTTCCACACCATCTTTACCATTTTTTTTTGCTTGTTCATATTCTTTTCTTAGTTCCTCAACAGAAAGAGCCATTATAAATCTTTTCTTTTCTTTTCTCCTTCTTTCTTCTTACAACAACCAGAATATTCAAAAGAAAATAAAAAAGATAAAACAGTCCCAAAGTTATCAATCAGTCCAAACCAAGGCAGAGTTCTCACTTTCTCCTTCTGGGGTAATATCAATCAAAGAGAAAGAAAGTCCAAATCTGTTTAAAATCTTATTACAATATATTCTAGTCTTCAAATCCTTAAGGCATCTGCTCCAACAAAGTCTTAGCATACAAATATTTTCTTTTTAATCCTCTCTCTTCCCACTCATCGCTTAAAACCAATTTCCACCTAAAAAAATAGGTTTCTTAATATCCAGTTATTTATTCCGTAGGAAAAGAGGGAAAGCTATCCTTTCAGCACCTTCAAACAGCCGCTTTTTTCCTCTTCTGGCAGGTATTATTCAGAAAGTCATACTTTTCAGGAATTTTATTAAATATGTCTTAGAGTCCTAGGAGCCAAGAAAAACTTTCTCCTCTCAAGCACTTTCTCCACTTCCTCCTGCGCATTCTTACCCGGCTGCCTGCTTCTTTGTGGCGGCCATTACGGACCGCCGCTGCACCGTCCTGGGAAAAGGGGGTTCTGCCGGCCAGGGAGGGGGTCTGCAACACCCCCAGTCCCTTCTCCGGATCCCCCCTACCTTCAGCTGCCCCTGCAGGGCAGCCTAGCTCCGTACCCGTGTGGGTCGGAGCCCCAAAAACGGCTAGCGCGGCAGGGATCGCGCAGCTTCGCAAATCCCTGCCGCTCGCGAAGCCGACAAACTGGAAGCCCCCAACAATACTGTGATCCTTGGGAATAGTGGAACAGGTGGCGATGCTAGCTGGCAGAGAAAAATAAGTTGGAAAATTTTCCGCAGACTTTCTTTAGATGCTATCTTTGTTTGCACATTCTTAATATTTTGTACTAAGCCTGCCAGGAAATTTCGGTTAGTTTTCAGATTTTTTTCTACAATTTTTTTCCTATTTTCTCCTTAAGAATCAGAGACTGCAGGGTTCTGCTGATCGGTGGCAAAAATAGAGGTTCTTTCTATCCTACACCTTATCTAGATGAATATGGAGAAACCGATCCAAATCTGATGTAAGTTGCTGTTTTCTTTTTATTTTGTAAGAAGCTGTATCACCATTGGATGCTAGTTTTTTTCTTCATATTTTTATTTAGATTAATTCTTACTGTGTCCTAAAAGTGCCGGTAACATGTCACTTAATTTGCTGAGCAGTAGAAACTTTTTTGCTAGTGAAAATTTGAGGTTAGACTTGTGCTTGACGCTGCTGCTCCCAAATATTTTTCTGTGAATTAACTAGCAGTGGAACCAATTATCCAGCAAGTTGATGGGTTTTTCCTGGGCCAAAAGGGACTGATAAACAGCCATCTGTCAGAGATTTTTAACTGGTTGAATTAGTTGGCCTGAATGGTCCCTTCCACATCTATATTCCTTTCATGATGGGAGATATATCTGAGCAGATAAAATAAAATGCTGCTAAATATTATTTTTTAAACCTCAATAATTGTATTTTTATTTCTCTTTGAAGAAGAGGCAATCCTCTGCACCTGTCTCATGAACGATACCGGAAGCTCCATTTGTTGTGGCGACAACACTGCATCATAGAAGAAATTGCTCGAAGCCAGGAAACTAATCACGTCTTTTTGGGATTTAATTGGCACCTGCTCTGAGTTTCAACTTCTTTGAGACTAAATTGCCAACACCTCACTTGTAAAACATCACACAAAGAATATGAAGAATCTTAGTTTAAGGAAAATAACTAACCCACATCTGCTTACTGAAACTTGTGGGCTTGAATTTGGTTAGAAAAAAACGATGCATGCACACAACTTCCCAAATATGAATGCTGAAAGATCAAAAGCAGAACTGTCTGGATCATCAGTAAGCTGACCTTGTCCACTTAACCAAATTAAAAACAGTCAACAGTATTTTCATTCTTTTGCAGCAGCAGTTCTAAACACACACATAGTTTCAGTGCATCTGGATATAAGAACAAAGTGATTTAATCTCCTCTTATCACATTAGTTGCTTCTGTTTTCTCTTAGTATAGCAGCTCTCAAAATAAGTGTAATCTGTAACTGGCTTTGTCCCTGGCTTATCATTGGGAGCAGCATTATAACAACCTGAGGGTGAAGCACTACACAAAGTATAATGGCAAAGTAATGGAAAGGAAGTTAATGTTTATTGTGAACCCTTTCAGAATGAGAATGTGTTAGTGCAGGTTAATGTGTTAATTCTGAGCTCTTCCAGTTAGCTTCAACTTATATCAAAAATTAAATGCTTTGTTCTTGGTCTATCCCAAAATGGGAAGGAACTGCACCGCAGGAAAACAAGAATGAAAAAAAAATCCATTTCTTATTGCAAGTAGTCTTTATTTGTATGGCCCAACAAATTTCAGACTAAATTAGTTCTTAAGAGGGATTGAAAATCTATATTATACATTATAATTGAACAAAAATAATGAATACATTATTCAGAAGGTACCCTCATAACCTCATATCTACCACACATAGTCTAATAACATTTTTATACTGTATACAACAAACATAACATTTCAAATCATTATATTTGTAAAATAGTAAGGTTATTCATAAAATAATTCACAAATCAAAATCCATGCTAAAAGGAATCCTTAATATATGTACCAAATGTTATATTGTAATGTAAATTTAAACATTACCTACTTTCTTCTTTTAAAAATATAATAAAAAATAAAAGGAGAGGGTTTTTTCTGTTTGTGCCTGTAATGCAAACTCAGATTTTTCTCACTGCCAGATAAAAAGATACCCACTGTCGACTTTCTGGCTAATAATCTAAGTAATAAAAACATTAAATTAGTTCATAGGAATTTAAGGAATAGTAAAAGAAAAAGGAATATCTCTATAAGGCCACCTAACTCCATATGGACTCTGGCTGGCGCATTTTGGATGGGACATGAAGTATGCCTGTTCTGTAGGAACTTGCAGGATGGAAGAGAAACTGCCCCTTAAAGAAAAAAGCAAAGAAAATGCAGAGAACACATCAAGGCCTCAGTTATAATATCTCTTCTCTGCCTCAGAGCTTGTTATGACCCATTAACTACTATGACTATAAGAATCCCATGTTACAAAAAGCAACCCAGATTTTAAAAATTTATCCAGTAAATTCATACTCATTTCTCACGCTCAATCAGACTTATTTCCCAAGGCCTGACAGAACACAACAGAGACGTGGTTCAGATGACAGTATTTTCAGTGCGGTTCACACATGGGGCTGTGAAATATTGGAAAAAAACACTAAGTGAGGCAAATCAACGCATGTAAATCAGATGCTGGATTTTGCATGTGCTGAAAGCTAGGTTTTCAATGGCCAAGTGATCCTCTTGGTTCAGGGATTTTAATTCATAATTACTTTTTTTCATTTTTCAATAATATGGCCCTTGAGTGTAATGGATAATTTCCATGCATAACAAGATTAAAAAGTATTATTCTTACAATTGCATCCCATATATAGAGAAAATAATACTAGAAATCTTCATTAAATTATTTCTGTTACCAAAACAGATGCTGCTGCATTTTTATACTTGCCTTGCTAATGTCATCAGTGACTTTTGATTTAATAATTGGAACAAGAATTGCAATTTGAATGTTTTTGTCTCTCTAAAAAATAAATCTCTGGGCCTGATGACCCCTTTAGTGGAAAGCTAAGAGTAGGGCTGAACTACATGCCTTTTTAATTACCATCAGGGTTTAGTTTGTTTTTGTTTTAATATTTTTATCCCAACTTTTATCCCATATATAACTCAAGCCAATTAACACAACTAACGTTCTAAGGATAAATACTTTAATTTTACAAAGAGTACTTAGGTAAATTTCTTACTAAGTATAGTTACTTGATTCTGAATATATTCTTCTTAAACAAAATGTTCAAATGAATCAGCTATATTTACAAATTTCCCACAACTTTAGGCAACAGATGGCCAAAGAGAAATTGGCAATGAGTTATAGATTTCCTTCTTCCCACCCCTGGATTAGATGCTCATAGTAATTCATCTGATGTTATTCTTTATACTTGATATCCCAGATATTCACTTATACTTAAAATTTACATAAGAAGAGTTACCATGTTTATAGACGTTATTTCAAACACTGTGCTCAAAATTGTTTTGGTTAGACCTCTCTAATAATGATGGTCTTTCAAGAGTGGCAACCACCTCAACAATCACCAGTCCCTTCACTGTTAAGATTATTTCCAGAGTGCCAAGTGCTGCTTTGTACTCTTTTTATTCTGTTATTGGTCCAACACGGGTGGGATTCTACAGGTTTGCACCTATTCGCTAGAACCGGTTGTTAACATTCTAAGCAGTTCAGAGAACCGGTTGTTAGAAGAAATTACTGGCCTAATCCTGTAAGGAAGGCAGGAAGGAAACATTCTGGTGTTGCTTACAGAAACTGCCTCTCTGTTAACCCTTTTTACATTTTTGGCAGGCTTAGACTTCCTGTCTCTGGAACTTCTCTGGAGTTTTTTTCCCCTTCTTTGCTGGTACTTTGCTTGTGTGGAGCGACCATTCAAAGTTACAATGGCACTGAAAAAAGTGACTTATAACCATTTTCACACTTACGATTATTGCAGCATCCCCACAGTCATGAGAGGCCAGACAAGGAGATGCGTGCCTCGATGTGAGTGATGTGGAGTTGGCTATGCCCAGCCAGTCACATTACCACCAAGCCACGCCCACCAACTAAGGCACACCCACAGAACCAGTTGTTAAAAACATTGAATCCCACCCCTGGTCCAACACCATCTCTTTAAGGATTGAGAGTCAAAATGAATTTCTAAGGTGGGGAGGAACAAAAGCAAGCAAGCAAACTGATGTATGACACAGCGAGGGCATAGCACAACATACAAACTGACTGCCTCTTTCTGCTTTGCTAGGTTGGCAGCCTTGCAGTTGCCAAGTCTTTAGTATTACATTCAATTAAGCTGCAGGGATATATTTGGGAGGAGCGTTTTCTGAATTGTGGTTTGCAGTGCAAACATTCATATTAGAATTATCCAAAACGCTGGATATTTGGTTCCCTTTGCCACGATGTTTAATTTGGTTGATATTCCACATGGCAGTTTCCACAAAACTGTTTTCAAATAACCAGCCATCAGAATCACAGAGTGGATCCGCCTGTAGAAGAAGGTTCCTCATTGATGTTTGAAGATAACGAACTCCAAGGAGGACCAGTAGCTGAAGAAAAAATAATTCAAATGAGCGGAAAATTAGAGAGTTGCGATTCCACTAATTATAGTGCACCACAACACAGAATTTAAGAGTTTGGTAGGGATGACCACCATGTGCTTGAATTTTTAAAATTTCTCTTTTGATTTTGGACCAGTTAATTTATTTGATGTGAAAAGCTTTAGCTGGCACTTAAATTGAGACACTTTTGATTTTTAAAGATTTGGTTTTTAAAAATTGTATGAATGTAACATGAAAAAAGCCTCACTGTTTCTAGAAGGCAAACCTAAAGATTGAAGGGGAGGTTTTTCTCCACATGAAAACATGAAGAGTCTTAAGTCCTATCTTTTAACCAGAAGGATTCGGGCTAACCCTTTCCTTCTGAATCCATCTTTCACCAACCTTAATGGTATTGAGAGATGTAACATACCATTCTTTCTTCCTGATTCATTCTGCTTAGGCACTCTCTTGTTCTTTCTGTACACAAAACCATTTCACTGATGGGTTGTTGTTTAATCTGAGAAATACTGTAATTCTTAACACTTTTGGCTACAGCCTCCCAGTGTCGCTAAATAATATTTACTGAATATATGCACTAGAGGCCATTTAAGACGTTCATGGTGCACCCTTTAAATCACATTAGCAGTGGTGCTGCCAGGATTGACCTTGTACATAAACATTAGCTTGGCCCTGGAAGGGAGGAGTGAGTGAGAAACTCAAGATTACCTCACCTTAATTACCTGCTGTGAGAAAAGGCTGAAAAGGGAATCAATGTCGAGCTTTTAAGAGAACCAAGGCTTCACAGTTTAACCCTGAGGTACATACATATACATCTCTTCTATTGGAATCACTTAGTTTTGGTTGTATTGGGTCTAAAAACATTTATTAATCACAGCCTGCAATTTTTCCTTTAAACTGTATGGAATAATTGATGATGGAAACTATAAAAAGGCAGAAACATGCTCCTAATTCTATTTTATTCTGTTTTCTAATTTTTTCAGATTAGCAGTTCAGAGAAGAGTTCCAAATATCCTTGAGAAGCTACTATAAATAGAATATTTTCATCCAAACTATCTTTTTTTTTTCACTTGGTCAGATCATTAGGTTCCAATGAATAATAATTTTGTTATTTGTATTTCATAGCACATAATAAAAACTGTTCCATACCATTTCTGATGCTTGGAACAGACCTGATATGTAAGCTTTCTTCCCAGATGCCAGTTTGCTTTTCCAATAATTTAATTTAGAGCTTGACTGGAGTCTCTGTATCATAAACATATACATTCGTATGGAAAGCAGGATTCAAACAATATCTTTAGTAGGATGGGAGAGGGGGAAAGGGTTCCTGCTTTAATTTTATTTTTCTTTTAATTGCAAATTATCGGTACTCTTGAGAAGATTGCATGCATTCAGCAATATTTTTAGTGGTATATCATATTCACCAATCATTCACTCCATAGTAAGCTGTTCCATCTTTTGTACCTTTATGAAAGGAACACTTCAGTAAATGCAGTTTTACCTCAAACATCCAAATGACAAATGTGGTGATGCCGATGGATCTCATGATGTCAGTGTAATAATCCAGAAGGGCTTCCCTGCATCCTTTCATCCAGATATTAAGTTCTTCTGTCATAAAATCATAACTGTAGTGAGCAGTGTTGTTTGTGAGCTGGTACTGGATACAGGGCCGGGGCGAGTTAGGATTGCAACAACTGAAGGGGACTCCATCCACCAAGAATTTCCCATCAATATTACTTTTTAGGCGGCTGGAATAAGATGGGGTGGGGAAGAGAGATGTGTAAGAAAGGCTAGTAATTCAAACACGAGGATTAAAATTTAGTGGTTCACTGCATTTTGTTGGAAGGAAAAGTTCTGGTTGCTCTCTAGCGTTTCCTGAATTAACCACTTAGATTTTGTATGAGTTCACTAAGTAATCCAAATCAACCTTCCCTGCAGAAATGCATAAAGGCACGTTCTGTTTTCTAGAGATGCCATCCTTTGATGGTGGACTTGAACTCGAGTATTTACCCGATAGTTATAATTTTGCCCAAAGTGATGGTTGGCAAAGCAGGAAAGATTTTTATCCTGATGTGGCAGAGGAATCAAATGCAAACAACATTCAGGAAGAAAGAATCAATTGATAAAGAGAGGTAGATCTGAAATCAGGTGGATTGCCTCCTAGCAGATCTCAAGAGATGCTGTCAGGTAATACCTATGTTCTGTTTAGGACAAAGGCTCACTCTTCCCCTTGGGCATATATTCCTAATTAGTATCATAAAACAGCATGTATAGAGGAGTACAATTGCTGAAAACTGGCAGCACATTTTCCTGCCATTTTCAATTGGGAAACACTCAGATACCTCAATAGATTACAACTGCAGTGCAATTCCTAAACTCGGCTGAATGTACTTTTTAAAAAACAAAATCTTTTTCAAAAACCTCACCACTTGACCTCTCCCATTGGAACCTCCCAAAACAGCTAATTGTCAACTATTTCCAGAACAGGCTGCCTAAAGTTGTAGAGTTTACTTTGCTATAGAACTTTGAAGGAAAAAATACTTTTATGCTAAAATTAATTGCTAAATTATTAAATGTGATATTTAGAAAAGACAGCTTTTATCATTCCACTTTTATTCTGATTTGGAAGACATTCTAGAGATCATCTAATTTAGTTAAGAGAATTATGTGCCCAGAATTAGGCTACCCAAATGTATATGGATCCCAAAGAGTTGAAGGGACTTTGGAGGCCATCTAGCCCAACATCCTACTTGAGCAGAAGAGTCTATTCCAAATATTAGCCTTTACCTAGGATCAAACTCACAGCCTCCTGATTGTGATGCAAGAACTCCACCTCTGGCTTATAGATAAATCTGCAGGATTCATTTTTACATGAAGGTAATCCGCAGGGCCCTTCCTAAGTTATTGAATTTTCATTTTTAATATGATAGAAAGGGTAAACTGTTAAATACATGGTAGGTAATCATACAAAATATATTTATTTACTTCAAATTAAATTTAGTATTGTCCTGGCCCTGTCTTTGGAGCACTGCTATCCAGCTTACTGTACAAAAATCGAGAGCAGCTCTTGATGTGAGAATGTTCTGCATCCATAATGCAATCCAATATTTTGCTCAATTTTGAATTTTCAATGTGGGATATATCTACAGATTACTCAATACTTCAGAAGTATGGAATGGACTGAGGTCTATTATTGAACAGTTTGCCATGTTTCAGAAACCTGGCCTCTCAGATGTTTCTTCTAATGTTAAAGCCGAATTGGTTTCTTGCCATTTTCACTTACTGGCCTAGTTCTTTCCCTCTTGAACAAATGAGAAATCTGCTCCATATTTGAGATGACATCTTTAGTTATTTGACAGTACTGCATAGATTTTCTCTCTGTAACTTTTCTCAAGCAAAACACATACCTTTCAGGCTCCCCATCATCTAGTTCAGGGGTCTCCAACCCCAGGCTGTGGCCCACTACCGGGCTGTGGCCTATTTGGAACCGGGCCATTTGAGCAGTGGGCTGATACACATGCGTGTGTGTTAGTCCATTGCTCGCTCGGCCTGGTTGCCCTCCCCAACCCAGCTGGGCAGCCAAGCCGCAAAAGTTGTGGACCGCTGATCTAGTCAGTCCCTGTGATGACCCAGAGTATAACACAAAAGTAACAAAATCCAAAACGTAAATAAATGTCCTTTAATGCCTCCAACTTAGCCCCACTGTTCAATAATTCTCAGTTGGAGATAAAACATACTCAAAAATAGTCTTCAAAAGAAAGCTATAAAGTCCGAATTTAATGAGCAGATAGAAGTGAAAATAAAAACCAAACAAACTACAATGATGAAATTTCCACAACGGAACAGGATTAGTATTTACCAAATTCAAGGAGATAACAAGGCATGGTCTGTTGGAAAGATGCCAACTAAGATAACCTCAAACCAAAATAAAACATGCTTTGTCTCCAGCGTTTGCCAGAATGCAGGTCCAAACTCTTATGCAGTTCTCACACCTGCAGCCCATGAAGAGGATCAAGGCCCTCTCCTTCTGAGTAGACCATGTCTCTCCCTTATCCTCTCCTCCCTGTGTGCCTTAGGATGGATAGGGATGGGCCTGGGTCCTCCTCTGACTGCTCAACCGGCCTCTGCCCTTCCCCAGCCTCCTCCACAACCTCCGGAGCCACACTTCCACTCCCTGTCAGCTGTTCCTCCTCTCCCTCAGAGTCAGTCTCCACCAGGGGCATGACAGTCTCCTTGGTCATTCTGAAGCCTAGGTTCAAGTTCATTTCATGAGAGGACATTAATACTTACTCTAGAACATCCTCTGAAGTCATATCCAGATAACGAGGTGATACCCACTGAATTTCAAACCAATCTCTAAAATCATTGTTTCCACAGCACTGGAATCTGATCTGCAAAGTGTCTATAGTTCTCTTCAAAAAGCATCTTCCAGGAATGTCTGTATCTTTATAGAATTTAATAGCATTTCCCAATCCCAGATATAGAGATTCTTCTAATTCATTTCTCATAGTATAGCACATAATAGCACCCACAAAAATGCAGAAGGTAAAACAGAGAGTGCATACAATGTAAGGGAACATGATCAGCTTCCAGCGGTTAAATTTATTGGCATCCGTGCAGTCATAACATATTTTACCTCCAAAAAAGTTGATCATGCAAACTATGGCTCCAATAGAAATTAAAATATTTGGAACAGAGTTAATATCCCATTTTGCTATCACTTCCTTGCGTTTTCTTATTTCGATCTTTAAGAAGAGTCCAAGGCTGAACACAACTGCACCAGATATCACAGAAAACCAGTTGAGAATCCATAGGATTTGAGCCAGCTTGTCTCGCTTGGTTTTGGTGAATTTTACTTTAAGAACGGCCATGGTCACTACAGAATTAAGAGAAGAAGCTTTGTTCAGGAAAAACTTGTAATCAGATTATCAAAGTGTGTTCAGAGTATCCAAGTCATATCACAGAAGCCTATGAAACAGAAAAAAAGGACGGATTATTGCCTTTTCTCCATGTACGTTTATGTAAAATATATGAATCTGAGGCTGTTCATTATATGGAGGTAACCCTCACTCAATTTAATGAAAGCATACTCCCATGTTAGTATTTAGTTACTTAATCTGTTCCATTGATTCCAAATAGATTGACCAATGACTAATTTTAGAAGACTTGGAACCCTGATGTACAATGATGGTGTACATTATATTTAAAGGGTAATTTAGTGATGTAGCTAAATTGAAATTTCCATTTGGTGTTTATACCAGGTCAAGTTAGCCCAGCCTGATCTAATCTTTTCCACATTTAAGAGGCAATTAGACCAAAATACATATTACATAAAATCATGCTTAAAAGTGCAATCCAACTTTACAGCTGTTGATGCCTGGGGAGGTAAGGGTTAGTGTTGCATGCCTTCTGACTTTCTGTTAGTTGCTATGTTAAGACAGCTGCTGGGAGATGGGGGGGAGGAGGAGGAGAGAAAAAGCTCAGGACAGCAACCCCTACTACTCCAAGACAGATGGAAAATGATCGCTTTAAAACAAAACAGATATCCTGTACATTAAAATCAAAGTCAAAGCATCGTACAAGATTTATTTCCTTTCCAGGGACTGAATAAATTAAGCATCCTTCAGATTTTATATGGAGATCCACAAATGATACCCAAATAAATGATCCAAATTCTGGATTTAAAAAAAATCAGTATACTTTGCATTTTCAGGTATTCCTGTCATCTCACTGTGTTTTCATATAAATACTTTAGCTGAATTTAGAAAGATGAAGTTGCACAGAGTTCAGATAGTAATGAATCACCATGCAGTGCTTAATAGTGTTTCTGTAGCAATTTGATTTCTTTAAATGCCCATGATCACAAATATTCAGTGATAGTTATTGCTTTTGTACATCTGCGCAAAAAAAAAAAAAAATTATGGGCATGTTCATGTAGCCATTAGAAGATTAGCTCAACTTGAGGCATTGTTTATATACATGCATTCATACATATATACATACGTATTCATACACTCATATAAACCCATACATATTCATGCACCCACAAACAAATGCACATGCACCTAGAGATATGCTGATTGTTTCTAGAACAACTTAACAGGAGGATGGGTATGGGTGGACTACATAGTAAGTGGTCCTTTATGTAATTTGGTCATGAGCTCTTCCTTAATACCTAGGAGTGTATTACATGCAGGGGTGGGATTCAGCTGGTTCAGGTGAACCAGATGTTAAATTTACATCTGGTTTGCCAAACCGGTAGTTGAACTGACTGGCTGACCCTGCCCAGCCCACCCAGCCCCTCCCAGGAGTCTCCCCACGGCCTGTTTTGGATGCAGGTAAGTTCAGGGTCCGCCCAGAGGCTCTGGGAAGGTGAAAAATGGGCCTTCTGGAAGTTCAGAAACAGGCCTGTTTCTCGCTTCCAGAGGGCCTCCAGACCCTCTGGAAGATTTTCATCCTTCCAGATGCTCGAGGGAAGCTCCGTACCCTTGCGAAGGTGAAAAATGGCCCTCCCAGAAGTTTCGGTAGGCCACACCCATCATGGCCACGACTACCCAGCAACTGGCCAGCGAACCGGTTGCTGGGATTTTTGAATCCCACCTCTGATTACATGCAGTGCTTCCATGCAAAAAGGTTGTAAGCTGATGAGTGAGCCAATGAAATATGAATAATAGGGGGTGGAGCTGGCGTCACGACGATACGGCAAGCGATCTTGGAGATCTGAGATCGCTGCCGATATCTTTGCTCCTGAATGGTCCAAACAGATCTAAACCGTCCCGAAGAGATGGTGAATGTAAAGAGTGCATCCTGTCAATCCCAGGGACACCGCAAAGTCCCTGGTAGATCCAGGAGAAGCTCTTTTTGCCAGAGGCAAAGAGGCAGCCATCAAAGCTGCTGAAGTTGGGACAGCTCCGAAACTAAAGAGAATGGAAAGAGAAAGTGTGCCGGTTTGGTGAGAATTTTTTCTTTACTTTAAGATTTGAAAGGACACCCTGGCTTCCGGTTTGATGCTTCTTCAGAGACAGACAGAAATCCATGATCGTGTGCGGTTTCGGTCTGGGCTCGCCACTGGAGCGCCCTGAGCCAGCTGGTTCCGGGGCTAAGCCACCCCGTAGAGGTGGTGAAGAGGGGGGAGACTGCCAGCAGAGTTGAGGAGAACCACATCTCTCCTCCTCAGCTGACCATTACTCCCTTTCCCGAAGGCGGCTGCAGCGGTGGTCAGAAATGGCCACCTCAAAGAAGAACTCAACCGGAAAAGAATGTGCAGGAGGAAGATAAGAAGTGAAAGTTTTGGCTGACCGGGTTAAATTGCAAAAGCAACAACTAAGGTACCCTGGAATTTAAACTAAAACAAAAAACAAAAAACATCGTTCCCAAGGAAGAGTCTGAAGCAGCAAAGGAAAGTGAAAGGGGAAAGGTTTGGGTTTTTTTTCTTCTCTCCCTTTCCCTATACTGACAACTAAGAGACTTAAATAAGAAATTGGGGAAAAAAATCCGCTTTGACATCAACAGGCAATTAAGCTGAAAATAAAACAAAATGTCAAAGGGATAATAAAGATTTCTGGACATTAAAAATTTTTATAAGCAGGAAAGGAGAGAAAAAGAATAAAATGGCAGGATCTGGAAAAAGGGAGGAAACTGTCTGGAATTTAAAGGAATCTACAGTAAAACTTCAACAAGACTTCTAAAAGATATATTTTAACTGAAACTTGGCAACTAAACAGTAGAACCCCAGGAAGAGAAAGTGAAAAAAAAAAGCAAAAAGAAACAGCTTGTGTGTATTTGGATTACTTGGTGATCTTTGGATTCTTGGTTATTGCATTTGAATGATGAAAATTAATCGGGTGGTTGTTTAAAAATTTATACAATGGCACTACTTCTGGATGAATTGAAAATGGAACTTAAAAAGTACAAAGAAGATGCACAAGAAGGGAGGGGTTCTTTTGGCTTCGTTTTTCAATTCTTAGAAATGGAGATTTGGAACTATGAGAAACAACAAGAAACGACTGCAAAACAAGAAGACTGGGACAAAGAAGAAGCCATCTTTAATGAACAAGTAATTCTATGTGGGGAAGAAAAAGGAAAGGGGGGAAAGAGAATGGAGGATTTAAGACTTAAAAAAACAACCAAAGAAAAGAAAAATAGTTTGAAAAATAAGCATAATATTGGAAAGCAACAGAAGAGGGGAATACAGAAGAGAGAAATAGAGGTAGAGAGACAAGGGGGTAAAAAGGGGAGAAAGAAGAAGAGAGGGAAGAAGGAAAGGAAAAGAAGTTACAAAGGACAGAAACAAGATATAGAGAAACAGGGCCTATTTAGAGATAATGGGTGAAAATCTAACTGAAAAAGGGATTCTGCAAAGGTACATAAGATTGTATTGTTATATTAGTAATAGACATAATTTTAGAAAATTGGAAACAACATATGATTAAAATGAGGGATAAAATAGCTAGTGTAATCTAGTGAAATGTTTGTTAATAAAATAAATGAAATAAAATAATTGAGAAAATTGAATTAGGAAGGGACCATTTTAAGGAACATTTTAATTAGTTAATGTCTTATAAAATATAAGTGAGGTGGGGGATTAATTATGGAAAGTTTATAACTGTTCCCATAGAAGTATGATATTTAATTGAAAAGTAATGTTAAAGAAGTTAAGATTTTAATGAATATTAATATTAATGATAGAATTGAATCAGAATGGAATGTGTTGTTTTAATTACATATATTTATAATATTTTTTTTAAAGAATATAGTGTGTATTTTAAGAATGTACCAAGCAGAATCCAAATGGAAGTTATGTATTATATTGAACATTATGACTTTAAGGTATATATTGAAGCCTAAATAAGAGTTAAATGGATAAACTTAAAAGATATAAAAGTGTCATACTCCAATCAGCAACTACAGGAGAAACTTTGTTTAATGAGAAAAGATAATACGAAATTGAAACAGGACAGACAAAAAGTATAAATATAATGATTTGAATTGAGACGAGATAATTAAAATAAAATTGAGAAAATTAAAAGAGGGGAGAAGCTATGTAGAAAATGTAAAACAGTAATAAGATATGGGATAGAACATAAAAATGAGCATGAAATTGAATTTGTGTCTGTACGAAGAAATGTAACCCGGGATTACACTACTTTCAAAAAAGATGTTTTATTTGTATTTATTTTTTTTTGTGAAAACTCAAATAAAATTTACAAAAAAAAGAAAGAAAGAAAAGATTTGAAAGGACACCCTAAGGAAAAGAAAGAATCCGTAGTTTTGACAGAAGTTTTGACAGAAGTGATTAAGCGGCGATTTTAAACAGGAAGTCAAAGTAATATTTTTATTTTTATTTTTTCTCATTGCTCGATTTTCTACACATGATTTTATATTTTGAAACAGGACTGGGTTGTTGTTTTTTATTTATTTTTATTTGATTTGCCAATTGTTTACAAGATAATAAGTATAAGTGTATACATAGTTGTGAATACATGAAATGGGTACATATAAGAAAAATAAAAGAAGAATAAGAGAAACAATAGGACAGGGACGGTAGGCACGTTGGTGCGCTTATGCACGCCCCCTACAGACTTCTTAGGAAAGGGGTGAGGTCAATAGTAGACAGTCTAAGGTTAAAGTTTTTGGGGTTTGGGGAAGAAACTACAGAGTCGGGTAGAGTATTCCAGACATTGACCACTCTATTGCTGAAGTCGTATTTCCTGCAATCAAGTTTGGTGCGGTTAACTTTGAGTTTGTATCTATTGTGTGCTCTTGTGTTGTTATGGTTGAAGCTGAAGTATTCATTGACAGGTAGGACATTGCAATGTATGATTTTATATACCATGCTTAAATCAGACCGAAGACGGCGTAATTCAAGGTTTTCTAGTTCTAGAATTTCAAGTCTGGTGGCATAAGGTATTC